ACAAAATTAACAGGCTTATTTGAATGTTCTGTCATGTAGATGTTTGTGCCATGTTGAGTTTTGTTAGTACCATTTTTTTTTTTTTTACAAAAACCAAAACTGTTAACCCTTTGAACACGGAGCCATTTCGACATATGGGCGAAATTCGTCTGACCGTGCAGGCAATATTGGACCAAACGTCGAGGGCCTTAAGGCGCTTTAGTAGCAAAAGGGTTAAAAAAAAGGATAAACAAATTCCGAAAATGACCATTTTAACGTTTTTGAGGTCCTGGGAGGCTCTGAATTTTCCTAATGTCAGAGAACCCATTAGAGTAGAAAAATCCAAATTTCCATGATTTCGGAATTTGTTTATCTTTTCGAACCGCTTTGGTTTTTGTAAAAAAAAATACCACAAACAAAACTCAACATGACACATACGTCTACATCACAGGACATTCCAATAAGCCTGTTAATTTCGTTTGTGCCTCAAACTGGATTCCAGGTTCACATGTTGTTAATTCTCCCCGTTTTTCGCTGCCATTTCCCTTCACCCCTGCTGGAAACAGTTGGATCGATTCCACCTCTTTTGTTCATCAATTTCAACAGCGAGACGCTTAAATCAGAGCGTTTTTCTGCAGGCGGTAAAGTGAAAAGGTAGCTTAACTCGCGAAAATCATTCGGTCGGATGAATGAAGAGAACGAAGTCCATTCTAAACTGCAGAGCCACGAGAGAATGAGAACACTTGTCTCTCGGTTGGCTCTGAGAAGCATTCTTGGAGGGCAGTGTACATTGGTCATCAGGTATGCCGTTTCAGAGCCAACTTCAATGTCTGCCAAGAGTCCCCGCCCACTCGATTCAAAAAGTTCTCCAAGGAATGTCTTGTTCGCTCCTGTCAACAGTGATAATGACATTCGCCACCTAATTAGCCCGGTAATCAACGAGTGGTGAAGTTGGCTCTAAAACGGCACACCTGACAAGCAGTTTACATATGTGAGGCGTGCAAACGGTGTGCTAATTATCGTTCAGTTGTAATGCACTCGACAAGGATACTTTATGGATACTGTAAAAATGCGCAAACGATCTCTGGGATCCGATTCTCGAGTTCATGCGGATTTTGTTTGCATACAAATTTCGCAGAATTTCGCAAAATTTCACGCCATTGGTCAACGTTTGAAAGTCGTAAAGAAGATTGTCAATTTTCCATGCGAATGTTGATCGAAGGAACTCGAGAATAAGGTCCCTGGGCAAGATATACGATTACCCGAAGGACTATCCATACCAAATTGAGGCGATGTGAAAGTGGCATCAAAGAGGTCTCGTTTATGAAACTTTTCTCCAATTTGAATACACCGCAGAGTATCAGACTTTACATCGTGAATCTGGAGACCATAAGGAAGGTCCCGGCACTCAGGAAATTTCAATTTTTTTTTTAAACTCTTCCATAGATATTTTTCAAGTTGTTTTATAGAAAATCAAATTTTATGGGTGTCAAGACCTTCCTCGTAATCTTCATAGTCAGGTTGTATAACTTGAAATGATTAGGTACACGCAATTCGGAGAAAAGTTTGACATACGATTGACCATTCAGATGCCACTTTTACCCTCCCTTAAGGTAAAGTGAAAGTAACATCAAATAGGTGTCGTTTGTGAAACTTTCCTCCAATCTGGATGTACCGAATAGTTTCATCAAACTTTACACCATGAATCTGGAGGATGTAAGAAACGTCCCAACATGCATGTAATTTCATGGGTGTCAGGACCTTCCCCATAGCCTCCATATTCACGTTGTGAAGTTTCAAACAATCCCGTACCCCCCATTCAGAGAAAAATTCCATGTACGACTGGACCCTCAGATGCCACTTTCAGACCCCCTTAAGGTGACGAGAAACACTATCAACTTTATCTTCTTTCAGAAAAAAAATCTCCGAGATAACGCTTGGTTGCAATTTCCCGTTCCCGCAAGTGATTTACAGATAGAATATGTATTTAAAAAAATTAAAATACATTTGACGTCATCTCGTATGGAACGTCCAAAGTACTCCCTATTCTGATCGCATTTTTTCCTCAGATTTTGATTTTGCAATACGCATACCTAACTAGTTTAAAAAACCACATATGGACTCTGAGTGTAAGAAAGAAGACGCGATCAAAAACAGGAATGTTTTATCGGATCGTTTTCGGCCCTTTTTACAGTAACGGATTACACGATCGGGAGTGAAATAAATAAATCTTACAGTATCGTTCCCTGAATATTGAATAACTCGAGTCGTACCATTGGGACAGCTTTTCAAGGCAATGCATGCAGATCCTATGTACATTTGAATTATCGTTTTCCTTTCGATGATTGTACATACAAACCGGAAAAGTAAGGAGAACTCTACTACCGCTAATGCCACACCGACTATATACATAAATTCTGTGGTTGATTGGTAAAGCAGATCACGTCTATTTCGCATTAAAGACCTCTGTGTTACTTTATAATGTCGTCCTTATTGCAAAGTAGAGTTACGCTATCCTGCTTTGCAACCACAATATCGCAAGTAGAATGGACTCAAGTCATCCCCGTATTGTTAATCTTAATTAGTAAATTCTTAGATATGGTTGTTCGCGTCATAAAAGCCAGCACTTGTAACGGAACACGATTTCGACGGACATTGTGAATTAAAAAATTGTACCGGTACATTATTTAAGTAAATATCGGGCATTAGCTGGATGTCGTATAAAGAACACGGTGAATAACAATAGTGAATGATTAAAATTAAGATGATTAATAGTGATTCACTTTGCGATGGGCTCAGGGTAATATTTCTCGCCATTTTAGTCATTAACAATACAAATTAAAGTGTCAGAATATTATTAAATCCCTCTGGCTTTTATGTAGCGCATACACAATCCCTCTCGCAATAAAAATATATTATGACTACGGTAGTACTTAATTTTTGACTAGCATGTGTTTATACGAGTGATTCCCAACTATCGACTCCCGTTCACGTTTCATGTCAACATGCTCGACCATGACGATCACTTGTTTTTACGATTGTTTAATTATAATACAAACGAGGAAAGTAATACATGCAATGTCCGACTTCTACTATTTCTAGTTGCTCATAAACTCATATAAAAGAGGAATCCCTAAAACAAACGACCATTACCTGTAAATAGTATACATGTTCAAGATGCAACTGCAAGTAAATATCGGCCATGATTAGAATGTTCACGACAGCCAAAGGTCTGAGCTGCCTCCGAATATTTGTGGGAATCGCTCGACTAAAATATACTTCTTTCATGCGCACAATATGTGTTATAATATTCTGGGACAGACCCATTTCATGACTACACTTTTTAGGATAGGTATAATTTAATCCTGTAGGACTTTAGAATCCGCATATTAGCGATGCGCGTTATGAGCATAACATCATTTTAAAACAGGAGTAAAAAATGAGAAATATTTTTGTCGAGATGCAAGATCGACGTACTGTACTCTTGTACACATCTCGAGTACCAACTTGTGATCGTCAAAAATTGATTCCCCACTTTTTGTTCCTTATTTCCTTCAGCTCGTTCCTTAACACTAGACGCTACATGTTGCGATAACATACTCGCGACATACATGTCGCCCGCCAAAGTCCACTTCTCTACTTCACGTTACTCACTATTAGGGTATGTAATAAACGAGCTGATTTAAAAAATTTACGGAATCATCTTATGTAAGTCGATTCAAGTTTCTCCCCTTTTGATTACAAATTCAATTCACACGAAATCCTATAATATTTAAGAAAATGCAATATATATATCAGTGTTTCCCCCATTTCAAGATTATCGAAACATGACGAGATAATAAATCGCTTTTGATTAGAAGTAGTTTGTCGTTAGTATATCAGTTTGAAATGGATCTGAATTAAAGTTGATTTTTTTAAATAATTTTCACATACCCTACTTACAATCGCAGATTTCGAGTAATCTTATGAGGTATAATTCTTATGAAATCTTTCATACGATAAATCTTATCCATAGAACACAATTTTAAAGAGGCTCGTAAATGACTATTTACCAAGTGATCACATCAACAAAATGAGATTGTTACCATAGTATAATTTCGCAATTATTATTTGATCCGTGATCTTCTCTGTTTTAAATAATACGGAGAAATAAAGAAGTTATTTCACTAACTTCGTTCAAATGATTTTTTCGAATTACTCCAAATAGTTAGCAAAAAACTATAGCGTGATTATGTTCCCTTGATAAAAAGTCAATGTTAAACCCCCTTAAGATGTATGCCAATAAACGACAAGTTTGAAGACGTAGCAAGTGATCCCATTTTTCATGCGATGTAAGTTTTACAGGACGCAATGAGTCGCTAATTTTGATGTAAAAACCCATAAACTATTCTTCAAACAATATCGTCTCAATGAAGCCGTCGTATTTTAACCTATCAAACTGATATTAACAATTTAGCAATCAATTGAGCACAATTATAAAGTATAATTTTCAGAGATGTACCGAATAAAATACTACATTTAATAAAGTAATGTACGCGTAATATTTTAGGGATCCTTCGCTTGCACATACTATTTTCAGTCTTATGGTAATACTACTTTAATACTTTTTCTCAACTTCTGTGCCTAGAAACAACCGTAATATGAATATCATTAGAACATTCGCTTTGTGATTACATATATGTATATATATATAATTTTACAATCGCGCATCGTTCACACATGGAAAGTTCTAAGCTGTTATATTGAGTTCCAAAGCAGAAGCTATGAATTTAATGTTGGCGAAAAAGTGTCAACAAAAGAGAGGGGTAATACATCTCTTTGGACAGAAACCGATGGGCAGACGTAATGCATTATCAGTATTATACTTTCGTTTCAAAAATTTGATTGTGTCATACTGTTGTAACTTATTGTCCCACACAACATTCATAGCTTGGGTTTTGAATTCGACTTGATTATTCGCTACGGAATACGGTATATACGTGTCAGTTGAGAACGAACTGCGCGAGATTTCTTTAAATTTATTATCGTTTATAATCATGTGCAAAGTACGATCTACTCTGTTTTTATTGCGTTTCATATCACTTCGAAAACAATTATAATAGCCAGTTAAGCTCAACTGTTACTCTGGTTTCGACAAACTTTCCTGTACTTATGCTGCCTAGTCCACGTAAATTAAGTACCAAGTACGGAGAATAAATAAACACCACGACAAAAAGGTCCTACAACCAAGTATTCTGTACATTCATATAACCTCTAAGAGTTCCACAACCACCCTGAACACGTACAAGATTAAAATTTAATGCGATAAGTTACCCTGCACCACGGAAATGAAAATAAATATTTTTGGTACGTATCGCTCGCGAAAAATTTGCTCCATCTCTCGATATAGCAAATGCGAGATACAGAAAATATTGGTTCCTCTCGTAATCTTTCAGATTACATACTTCCTTATACTACAAATGAAAATCGAACGCATACTGGAATCTATAAATCATTTTCGTTGCATGATAATGGAAGTGTTTCACTGGAAAATCAATAGAAATTCCTCAGCGGCGCGTTAACAGCTCTAACTCGACGAGAAATTTAAAGTACTAGTACAAATACTTATAAACGAAACCCAAAAAGCAGCAAATCCGCGAAGCAAAATCAAGTGCTACTCAACGGTTTGGCTGAATTTTTAGGGATTAGAAATGTTCATTGACAATCCAGACGCAGAATGATTATAATTATACCTAAGACCAGCTCCAACCGTTGAACAAAAATTTCGCAAGACCGATTAAAGGCTGTAATAAATGCTTAGTTTCTCTAAAATAATTCGTAAGTACAAAACCCTGTAAAATGCTATTCATAAAATGAATCTATTGCAATGTTCACTTAATGTAATATACACAAAATCGGTTATTTTAAAATTGTACAAATAAAAAGCCTTTAATTACGTTCTTGTAAACCTCTGTACAATACCCTATATAAAAGTTCACTTATACGAAAAATATTCAAAAAAGGACACGACTGTCCAAAGTACGCAATGCACTCGTATATCCTTTACTTTAGGGCAGGATTTTACTATACAACTATTATAATTTTTATTGAGCATATTTTAGAAATTGTTTGAATCGTTGTAGGAAGTGTTTGATTATTGACTTTTTCCCAACTATACGCTAAAATCCAGATTTCGTTAAATTCGATAAATCATGTATCTACATATTAGCTTGGTACATCTGAAATGGATGTAGGAAGACTCGCGAAAGAAGAAAGAAGGAAACATAACGAAAGAGAACTAAATAGACCTTCGAACAATAGAGACTGTTCGTAGAGGTATCGTAATGTGTAAGAACTGAGTTAAAACAGTTTGTAGATATCTCAAAAAATACGTGCAACTTCCAGATTATTCGCGTATAGTGCAAACAGTCATAATACCCCAGTTATCGGTTCTACTACCTTGAATACTTTTATCCGATGCTTTTGGAATTCCTAGGAACTTCAGATTCTTCACTCCCTGCGCCAATGTCATTACATTCAAGCTTCCTAAAACCCAAGCACATAAAATTTAATTTATTCGGCCGTATAAAAATTATTTATCAATTCAACCGAACATCCTTTACCTCGGGGAATAGAAAACGTTCACGAGCCGGTTGTGGCTGCTCGAATGGTGAACTGCTCATGTATCCAGGCGACGGAGACTCGCTCTTCTCTAAAACCGGGGTAATGTTAGCGTAATTTGCTGAAGTCAGAGTTCGTCCTTGCTCCACCAAAATACTCCGGTCGATCTTGTAGTATTCCTTTCCGCTACGAGGACGCAGAGTCGTGGTAACTGTCCTGCCGCCTATCCTAAAAATACGAAACAACAAACATACAATATTTAATTTCGCACTTTTAGAATTAAATGATTATGAGTTCATCTATCAAGACTGTTAATACTAGATGTACCAGGCCTATTTTCAAGGAATTTTAGATCGCAAAAAGAACCTGTACTATCGGTATATCCGTAAATTAGCGTTAAGGTGATGCGAAAATTGCGTCAAAGGGGCAATCGATCTTCAAACTTTTCTCCGAATGTACCGAATTGTTTCAAATTTTACAACGTGAATATAGCGGCTATAAGGAAGATCCTTACACCTATGAAATTTCATTTTTAGTACAAAATTTAAGAAATGTCTATAAACTAAATTAAGAAAAAAAAATTAAAATTTTATGTGTACCAGGACCTTCCTTATAGCCTTCACATTCACATTATACATTTTGAAATGATTTGGTACACCCAATTCGGAGAAAAGTTTTATAAACGAGACCTCTTTGACGCTACTTTCACATCACCTTACAATTATATTCTTTCTTTCGCCATTTTCAATAACGTTCAAAGTGATTACCGAAAAATTGACGGGAAGTAATAGCACAATTTCCTCTTACAATCGAAAACTGGTTAAACTGGTATGATAACTCTGTTACTGGTTTCATATCTCCAGTGTTAAAAAGTATCGAAGTAATTATTCCAGTTTCCTAACGACCTCAGCGCCGCCTTTTTCCCTATACCAAAGTTTTTAATTACCTAAGACCATCCGGCGTGTCGGAAGACGAATGAGACGACAGTGACAAAGTTTCGATGTAGTCAGACATATCGGAAGTTCCGCTGCTGGTGCTTCGCGAATCGATATAAGGTGTGCCACCGACTTCCCCAGGACTGGCAAACCCTTTCGCACCCTTTGGCAAGCAGGTGGGTATATCAGCTTCGGCGGAGGATGACTTCGTGGGTATCTTGACCTTTTGAAATTGGAACGACAGCTCGCGAAGAGGATCGCTAGATTTCGACTTCCTGGGAAGACTGCTATGAAAGCACGCAGGGGGCGGGCTTTTGTGGTAAACCGAGAGTACATTATGCTTCTTCGTGGCAGTGGAATTCAATGAAAGCTCGAACTCGACGAACTCGGCAGTCCTGTGGCTGAGAGATCCGGTAGAGACGCCAGAATCGTTGCTGCTGGAGGAATCTCGATTATGTCCCGCCTTGGAGGGTACCGAGGAGGACCTTCGTATTTTGATGCATGGCTGATGCGAAGAGGACACGGACGACACGTCCGCACTATCATTGTTCATCTTAAGCTCGGACGTCGCGTTGGAAGTAGGTCCTTCCGTGATGACCAAAGTGCCTTTACTAGCCTCGCTCGAACACTTGTGAAGGGTAAGATTCGACGGAAACGTTCTGCCCTCGTCATCCAAATAGTGAGCAGATTCAGCCGAGTAAGATCTCTTCCTCAGCAGCAAACTGATGTTCCCTCCTTCAGGGTTATTCGCGGTATCGATAAGTCGTCGTCGCAGGTACGGGCTGGACAACATTGCCGACCCAGGAATACGAAATTCAGAGTCCGACCGTTTCCTGCTCCCCTCCAACATGGCCGCGCCCGAAAGCGCAGGGTTACTAGAACTCTTGACCCCGCTGCAAAGTCTGGAGAGAATTTCCTTATGAGCCGGTTGCATCGGCAGATACCCAGGAAACGGTTTCTTCGGGGTCTGCTTATCAGGATCCATAACCAGGTAATCGGTGTCGATTTCTTTCACATGGCCACACTTGTTGCAGACCTTAGCGCCGTCATCGCTGACCTCCTCACCAGTCTTGTCAGTTTTCAGCTCTTCGGCAAACTTGTCCATCTCATCCTGCGAAATGGCCACTTTGGTCAGCAGGTCCTTGCTGTTTTCGTAATGCTCAAGGGACTGAGTAAAGTCCAGGTTGGCATAGTTCACTTGCTTCGACTCGGGTGAAGGTTGGGTGTCAATAACCGGCTGGACATTCTCATAGTTCCCCTTGCTGTTATCCGGCGAACAATCGCAATTCTCTTTGTTACCGGACACTGACGTATTATCCGCGTGATTGTTTCTCTTGACAGTCGCGTAAATCGCAATCTCCCCGCTGGCATTTACGACGGGCATTTTGCCTTCCCCGGAGAGCCGAACAGGGTGCACCGTCACTCCGGTCGGTTCGATTCCAGCGCCTCTACGACAATACGGCAGAACGAATCCCGCCCAGCTCATAACATTATGACAAGGACAGCCGGACGACCTCGGGGATTGAGGGGCCAGCTTCGCAGGACATCCGCATTGCTGCAGGACAACGGCCTGAGGGACATGCGGAGTGTCATAGTTGGGATAAGATTTCGGCAGTGAAAGGCATTCCTTTATCTTCCTAGGGGTATCATAGTACTGATCAGGCTGCTCCGATCTTTGCTGCTCGATCGACGCGCGATGTCCCGGAATAGACTTGGGTACATCATAATTTTCATAGGGTCCTATCACCCCGTTATTGCGAACCCCCTCCTGTGGTTTAGCTCGGCACGTACAAGTTTGTTCATTTGGCAGTGGCATTGGCGGTCTATTAACCTTTTTGACGGCCTTGGACGGCTTAGGCGGTCTCGGCGGCGAGACAATGGGACTCGGTGACACGCGATGGCTGCATTGAGGCTGAGAAACCTTCGTCTGCGAGTATTGACATTCCACCTGTTGTTGCGATCCGGAGTAATCGCTATCATGGCTGCTACTGCTATACGAAGAGAGCGACAGCCTGTCGAAAGCTCTCGGTTGAACGTGGCAGCTTGGATTATGCGTCCCTGGCACGGGGCTATTCGTAGACCCAACCGCCGTGGTGCCCAACGTCGAGGATTTCGATATCGTCCCCAGTTTACTGATGCAACTGGCGCATCTTTCCAATCCCGAGGGGCCGTGCAACGTCAAGGAGCAGCTGCGCCATTCACCTGGCTGGTCGGTTAATTCGGACACGGACAAAGTATCTCTGGAGCTATAGTCACCGTCCACCTCCGTCTGTTGTCTACTCTCCGTGGAGGACCAGTACGGTGAGTTCTCGGTCTTGCAGCCGTCGCAGTGTTGTTCATAAGGTGTCGCCGTGTAAGTCAGCGAGGGGTAAAAATCGCTGGTCCGAGTTTCGGACCGCGAGAACTGCCTTCGAGGACTATCCTGAGCGGAATGCTCGCGACTGATCGGTCTCTTCCTTGTGCTCAGTTTACCTTCCGCAGCCAATTGCAACGTCCTGACGATGTCTTCCCCTTGGTCGGTGATAAGGACGTGGAGTCCCTCCCCACGGCCACATCTGGATCCGCCCTCGAAACAGAATCTTCCCTCGACGACCCCATAACGTCGAAGATGGCCTATCTCCCAAACACCAACGAGTCTTGGAGGTATGCCAACGGTGATGCAAAATCGTCGATCTTGCACGTGCATATGCGCCGGCCCATTGGTCAGTTTCGCTTTCGACGGCGCCGTAGAAATCAAGACCAAAAACTGTTGATCTACAGTGTCAATGGAAAATGCATTCTCATTTAGTACCCTGCATCTTCAGGAGTGAGAGACGCGAGATCAAAGGAAATATATTGAAATTTGGTATACCTTCGCCTAGATTGTTCGATATCTTGACTTGCCATTGTATCAGTCGTTCCCGAGTATCAAATGCGAGGACGACCGTAACGTCTTGGCAAATAATGGCAATGGTATTGGACTCCTTGTCAAGAGTAAAGCCGCTTTGAACTCCGAGAAAATGTTGCAAACTTAAGGATGCCTTGGTCTGACCCTGTTTATACCTATCTTTGCTGTCTCCATACAGTTGTAGGTGCAAGCAGTCTAAACAGAGGGGAAGGAAGTTTCTTTTAAAAAATACATATTTATAAGGTCCTCAGCCGCGCAAAGAAAGCCGATTAAAGATCTCGTGTACTTTAGATATTTAATGTGAAATTTAGAGTGAAATACGTTGCCATCTTATCTTTAGTTTTTTAAACAACGTAGTTCATTATCTACGAGGAGCGTCTTCTATTTTTTTTTTTCCCCCTGTTCACTTAACCAGTGATACACTGCGGTACCCCGGTATCGGTATCTGTCATCGAGAGCTTTGTTTTTCTTGGCGTTTCTTGTATTTTTCTACAGACTGGCCCATTCTCGACAGATGTTCACTTAGATTCCAAGAAAGGTCTAAGGAGGGATTTGTCACGGCGACACCCGACCCAGGGTGGTAAAGGAAAAAAGAATAAGACCAGGGCTGCACGCACCCTCCTTGTCAGTCATAAAGAAAATTAATGAGTGCAAAAACGCACGGCTGACCGAGAAGAAAGATTTTTAAAGAATTTCTCATCTAGTGCGGCTATTTATTCCGCTCAAAGTGGATACCGCAGATTAATAAGGAACCGCCAAGGAACCTTTTATCTTCCAGCTGTCGTAGGATATTATGCAAATATGGAGATACCGCGCATATCATACGGATGATACCATAGCCGGAAATGTGGATGGCTTAAAGCATACGCCATAACATTTCCTGCTGCTTATCTCCCTTATCCAATAATATTTTATAGACACTAAAAGAAATCCGCCATCCGCTTCGAGGGTTAAACATTTGAGTTACGGTCGGCCAATTTGCTAGATATTCAACAATATGGAATTTATGTACCGGACTCAAAATATTCTCATTTATTACAATAACATTGAAATAATATTTATTTGAGAGCACGATACAAAGTGAGAACAATTTTCAGAAAATCCAGTACCCAAAATAATGATCATGGATCTGTTTAATAATATCATGTGCCCAGAGGTAACATACTCGTGTATGTACACACGTTTTTTCAGGTGCTATTTATTTGAACGCGAGATAAATTTAATTGAAACACGTGGACTGATAAGAAGCGTGGAATACAGCGAAGTTATTGAAGCAATTTCAAAATGATTTATAGCAATACTAAATACATAAAAGCGCTGTAGAATTGCCAAGCATAACTGTAGCGTATAGGTATAGTTCTCAAGTGCTTATGACATCATTCAAGAAGCAAGAAAATTATCGTTCATTTACGTTGCCCTCTGTGCATTATTATCTATAATTATGGTGCAGTTCGACCACAGTAAACATAAATTATACCAGTATCACACATTGAATAAAACATTGTATGAAATCATCTTACACCCATTTTCCTTGTGAACTATTTTTGACCTTTTCACAGATACGCAATCAATGAAGATTTTTGTTAAATAAACGTTACATTGCTTCCTTCGGACACGCCATTTATGTGTAATGGTCCGTAGTGAGCTTGGTGGCTATCGTTTGAGTTATTTCAATTGCACGTCTCCCCAACTTATTATTCATACTCTTGACTTATACGGCTTAGAGAATTTGAATTGCAGATCAACATTACCTGCAACTGGTGATAGTTTTCTCATCACACACCATCTTGACTTCCACTGAAAGGGAAAAAGAAAACATTTACCAGTAACCTTTACGTATAAAATTAAAAAAATCTAAAAAATTAACTATACTCTTAAATAAAAAGCAAACTCATTCAACCTTTCCTTGTTCTTCCCCTTTATTATCTCTTTGCTATTAATTTCAAGAAATATATTTATACATAATTTTATCCCGATAATGATCTTGTAATTAAAAAAAAAGGGGAAATAAACATTTAAATAAGATACAGAGATGAAATTAATTTTAACATTTCTTAAATAAGGAAATAAGGAGAGAAAAACTGTTACCATTCGGGCATTAACCCATACCACTTCAGTTTATTTTTGTTTCAGGACTATTCACTCCTTAGGGAACCCCTGTAGTATAAATACCTATAGGAGACATATCCCTCTGGTTTTTAAAGTCTCCCTCTTAAATACCCTCTCCTGATATTTCTGTCAATGCAAAGGGTAAGGTTTTTAACTTGGACTCTTGACTCCTTTAAGTCAATTGAATTCAAGACCCTATACAAAATCTCCCTCAGAGGTTCCATACTTAGTTCTCATTGTCAGACAAGTCCAATATGAAATCGAGTAATTATCAACTTTTCTTGTTCCATAAGGTACAATGTAACCAATTATACTTTTATGTTATTGTTACATCATTTCTGATGCAGCACTACACATGTATACAAAAACCAAACGGATATAATTGTTGATTAACCCTTTGCATTCCTAAGGCCAGATCTTGGAGTTGACTACTTATATATAGCCAAATTGCTCGGAGTGCAAAGGGTTAATGAATTTACAAAATTTGTCCTCCTGTATGAATGACATTGTATTTTCAAGATACTTATGTTCAAGATTTTGTTTACCTAAATATTGAATGCCATGATCTCAAGATGCTACTATTAATTATTTCTTTCTGTGTGATAATAATGACACTAATCTTGCCAAATCCTTTCACCCAAAGTAACAGGATATGGTTATTTAGATAGTCCGAACTTAAAAAAAAAGAAAAAGTTAAGCAAAAGTAGCGACACAGATTTTTAAGTCATTGGCATTATTTAATGCCTAAAAACATTTCCATCTAAAGCATGTGAACTTATCTACCAATAAGATAACGAGTGAAACGGTCTAAAATTTGTAAATTGCAAATTGAAGCAATTATTCTTTCACTATAGTTACTTCTCTGCAGTTAAACATTAATTTACATTAAACACCAAAATATTTACAAGTTCTTCACACCTTGTAAGCACATCGGATGTATTACACTCTTCTGCCCAACTCCATCATAATTACGTAATGTTACATAACCCTCATTCAATTGTCATAAAACCGCAGTCAAGCAATCAATTGTCATACAACATTATTAAGGTGCATACAATTATCTTTGTGCAATCAATGTTGAAAGGAACCCATTCCCTGTTGCAGCAGCAATCTCTGCAGCCTTAAATGTAATAAACGAAGTGGAATTAAATTGCCTTTTGATTGCATCCATACAGCACGCGCGTATACAGTCTTATTCATAGATATATCACTGTAATTTGCACCGAACCTTTGTCCCAGAAATGAACTTACGAATGCCCGTAGGTGTAAACGACCGATCCCCGCGATTCTGCGCATAATTGCAACAGCGTCCTGCATTACATCCCCTCCGAATTACGACGCTGCACCCCCCGATTATTATTACGGGCACGACAGATTTGATTAATGTCCCGGAATTGCGGCATGTTTTTTCTGTCATTGTGGAGTACCCGGTGAAATTTCGGGGTTATTCATAGAATCCAGATAGAACAAGAAAGACGTGTCAATACCACGTCGACAAAGACTCACCTTCTTGCCGTCGCGAAATTTGACATTTCCTTCGATAATGCAATTGTTATCCACCATTGTGGACCGTCGATATTTCCCTGGCAGATGTATCTTTCATAACGGACGAACACTTCGGTAGCTTCACTCCATGCCGGCACGCTCGAGTCACTGAACCGCCGGGCGACTCGTGCAGCAACCCATTTCAACGGGGCGAACGCGCATCTACGAATCACGCGCTAAAATCCATACCCAAATCCGTCGATCCCCGAGCGTCCATCTTGACTCGCTCCACTAGCCGCCACTCTATAACCAGAATCGTCATGATCTCGAATACGAGCCCGAACGATGCTGTCTAACCGATCCAACAGGAACAACGCGAAGAGGGAGTACGCGAGAGACCACTGCACTTATCTCACGCTTGACGGAGAATGGCGTCCTCTTCTCACTCGCGTTACGTAACGAGTGCGACAAAGATGCCACAGGTCTCTCGTTGAGTGGAGTGGGGGCAGCGAATGCGGCACTGCCTATAGCAAAGTCAATTTATACTGCGGTAGCAGCTTCCGTGTACATTGCGCAGTGATTACCACACATCGTCACTCATCAGCCAATCAGCGGCCGTCTGAGCGTCGTGACAATGGAATGGAAGCGCTGATTGGCTGATGCTTTCAAGCTCGGCCAATCGCAATCGCAGAGTGTTTCCGAGCGACCAATCACGTAAAAGATACACGAGATTACGACCCGGGTTTTTTGGGCGCGTTCCAAAATCTCGGATGCAAGTGTCTTTCTTACACTTGCGGGTTTTCGGGACATTTCTTCTCGCTCTTATGGATTTATTTCACCCAAGATTATGATGTTGTATGTATGTACATACCGTTGATCGTAGTTGATGGATGTGGATAAGATGGATATTTTTAAGAGAATTTAAGAAAATCTGGAGAAATATAGACGTATTATCTATTGCCATAATAAGGAATTTTAATTGATCAAAAGTTGGCGATTGGATTGGAATTGAACTTGAAACTCAGGGATTTTATTAGTTATTGCTTTGGCGGGATACAGCAAGATATTTCAAAATGATCTAATGTCACATGGAGAAAATCTTGCAGAACTGTTTTTAACCTTTAAATTCCGTGTTATTTCTTTGACTTTTTCTTTTTTTACACATTTTAGCTCCTGTTCTTGTATATTATGCTATTAATGATGCGGAAGATTAATAGCTTCAATACAAAGTAAATGCCGAAGAAGCAGACGGGTACAAGATGGCTGCCAATTTGATCGGGCATGCTTCGAGCATGGAAGACAACACTTGAAATTTTTGATTTAATTCGTCCATAAGATAAAATCGTAAAAATTCTACCGCCAATATTCAATTATACTTCATTCTTATTTAAAGGAATATTAGATAATGTCAAGGATTAAGAATTGAATTGTTAAGAAATTTATAAGCATATTTTGTATTGTTACTCTTTGTAAGTACACTACTTGATTTATAACGTACTATTCAGCGCTCAACTATGTTGTTATAAATGAGAAATAACTGGTCAGATTAATGTATATGCAGTATAATGTAATCAGATTTTTATAATTAAATGAACATAACCTACTCCATCACGTAACATACTTTAAGCGTAGTTTTTTAAATTATTATTTGATTTACTGACATAACACTTTACATTGGTTTTGTACATTGATTTTGTATTATTTACAGGATAAGCCTGTTGTAAAATGGGTACACCGAGTGCCCCTGTTTTATCCGTCAGTCAACAAAAAAGATCTCTTTCAGCGAAAAAGAAAGGACCCCCTAAAGCTGTTCGCAATGTGCTAGTTCAACCATTTGAATCACTTTGGTAAATGAACTCACCAATGATTAAGTTCTTAATGTCTGTTAATATATTAAATGTACTTCTAATGGATATTAAAAAAGATTTATTTAATAGGCCTGTATTAAAGAAGGAAGACTGTAAACCTGTGGAAAAAATTCTAAGAGCGTAAGTTTTGTGGTGGATATTTGTGTGTGATAANATTTTGTTATGCTAGTGGAATTTTTTACTAATTAATATTTCTAGAAAGTCCATTATTTTCGGAGCGAATGCAGTCATGCGTGCTTTAGAAAAGGGTGACGTGTGTTCTGTTTTACTGAACACTAATATAGATCCTCCATTTGCAACAAAACATATTGTTGTTATGTGTCAAGGAAAAGCAATTCCCATTATATTAATGCAATCTCTAAAAAGCATCACACTGCAAGCATTGGGTTTTGCATCAATTGTTATTGCATTGAAGGTATTAAACATATATTATTAATGAAGGTAATACATATGTACAAGGTGCTCGTTAATTCATTTATTTTCACAGAAGCACGTAGCGGATTCTACAGACAATTATTTTTATAAATTACATGAAGCAGTTTGCAATATTGCATCTAACTTATCAGTTCCAAGGACACCTGTTCAGCTATTTCAGTCAGGAAGTGATTCTGAAGATAGTTTAGTAACAATGGACGATGAATCAAATATGGAAATCAAGAACGGGTCAAATACTCCTAAAGTTCCTAAAACCTGTAGAGTGCCAACAGATTTGTACCTTTATAGGTCTTCTGAAAAGGAAAGAGCATTCGTACCACCAGGTGATAAAGGCAATTGTTCTGGGAATATCAAAAGTTCTGATGATTTTGTACCACTTGGCAAAGATTTAGACCCTATTTTCAAAGATCATGGGCGAAAAGAAACAAAGAAACCCAAGAGATATATAGATTTATCTGAAAGTGCAGATAATAATCCTAAATTAAATGATTTTGTGCCATTATGTTCTTATTCAAGTGAAACAGCTGTGACAAAAGATGAAACTCAGGATATGAACTCAAGCAACGCAGGATGTCATGATCCGAATGATGAGCAATCAGGGATATCTCAACAAATTAATAATCCTGTTACTAAACCAAAGAAACATAAACAGGAAACAGCTACCTATATACCATTAAAAGTGAAAAGATTGCAAGGGAATTGTAATCGCTTGAAAGCAACAAAAGTTTCAAAAGTGAAGAAAAAATAATTCCTAAGGTAATATTAAGTACCCTGCAACTTGTGTAATTTTTTTTAAATTATACATTTTTAGTGAATTATCATACTCAAATCTCCAAATATCTATTTAATGGCAAGTTTTTCATTGCATAGCAATTATTACTGGAAATATTGCATTAACTTTGTTACATTTATGAAAGTAGATATATTCTTAAGGATGTTGATGAAAAATACAGATGACACATTTTATTTTTTTCACGTATAATTACAATATATACAAATTCTATTTATAAGTCCCTTATTACGAAGTACGCGATATTTTACAAAGTTGCATCACAAATCTCAACATAAACTAGAATATTACTGTATGCAAATGTAAGATGAAAACTTATGTAGCAATGTTTTCATATCGATTATACTAAGGAAATTCTGTAGTCAGTCCCTTTTTCCCCATACACATTGTGAAACAGTCTTTTAAAATGAAAGTTCCAAATGCAGCTTTGTAAATTTTTATGGATACTAAATTCAGGAATTATATTTCGCAATAAGCAAAACATGATTTAAGTATTAGATGGTCAGGTTTGAGAACCTTGGATACAACCAATCTTTTTATTGCCCGGGCAATTTTGTTCGTGTTATCAAACTGGTAAACTTGAACTGACTGATGATTTAAACATTCTAGTAAACAATGAGAGACCCATCATGCCTCCAGGAATTCGACTCACCAAAAATGACAGCATTGCAATCAATTGCAAAACTGCACTTAATACAGTTAAAGGAGTCGATTGTAAATGTAATGCAAAGTAAAGAGTGCTCAAAAGAGTAACAAAGTAAGAAATTGTAAAGCATCTCCTCTCGGCAGTGAAGAGAGACTTTAGGTAGCTTATCGGGCCCCACAAGAAGCAAAAACTGAAAAAATAAATAACACATGAAGGCGATATATCCAGACTCATTTTCTATCACGTTAGTACTTATGTTTTCGAGTAAAAACTTTGCTTAGCTATGATTAATTCTATACATTTTATTTTCAAGCACATACCTCATTAAGAAGAAGAGGCTTCCTAGTGTATATAGCAAGGCAAATTTTCTGGCCTTTAAAAGTAATACTGGAATGTAAATTGCTGACAAACAAAAACAAAGTATTCCCATAAAGAAGCATATCGCGAATGCAGTAAGCCGCTGCACTCTAGTCTAAAACATTGAATTAAGTATTTCATGTAAAATCACTTTTTAATATGATCGATAATATGTATTTATTTATCTAATTATTGGATTTTAACCACTTGCGTTGGAGGGACGTGCCACTTACGTCGAGAATCTGTGAATCTGTGAATTAGTTGCCAGCGCAAGTGGTTAAACGTACTTGAGGTTATGTTGTGAAAAGTACTAACCAAGCTAGGACAACAGTCTTTTCGAACACCGTCCAGCCATCCCGACTCTTGTCTCTCTTCTTCTGTGTTTCTTCCTAGCCATTTTCCTAATGACGGTTTCGGTATCGTCACCGAAGGAACCGTAATTTTGAATTGTTTTTCATTTTTACTGCTTAAAAGGTACTCGTTCAATTCCTTGTTCAGATCGGCCATGTTGACACGTTGTCATGCTTCCCGTGTGCCCTCAATGGACGTCGATAAAAAAGATCCCTAACATATCAATATTTTACTAACTTATTGTTAGACCGAACATTTTCAAATCATTAAATGAACCATTAACTATATTTTCAACGGGTGATACTGAAACAAAGGATGAACGAATCAATATTGGAAAAGTAGAAATAAAAATTGAAATCGGAGAATGACCAGTGACCAATTCAATTTCAAAATAGTTTTGAGCTCTAACACCTGATCATACTAAGTATTATTCTGATGTTATGGAAGTAGGCTCTATTTTTTCTAAAACTTATCAATTTTTCAGTTCACTAACGTCAGACAGAGTTGCTAATTCGAAGGCGCAATTCTGCAGAATCGGCAGGGCAGTAACCGATGCTTGACCGCGCCTTACGCAAAAATCCGTCGACCCCACCGTGACCGACGCTCTTTTTGACAGTATATAACAGAGATGAGTTGGGAGATTGCTCACGGGCAGGGTCGCGCAATCGCATCGTGTGCTGCCTTCTGATTTCATACGTTAGCTTTCACCGTTTTTTGCCCCCAAGGGCGGCGCAACGAATTTCTGGTAGGGGCTCGCGCACTCGCGATGGCTGTGTCATCTACCAGTTGCCGTTGGCGGCTCACGTATTCGTGATGGTAATATCATG